TCCCTTCTCATCTGAATTCTCTTCATCAACAGTGTGTGAATAAGGAGTAGCATGATAACAATAGGTTTTTGTCTTGGCACAAGTATGATAGCATTGAAATTTTCACAGAGATTGTTCAGCAACATGTCATACTTGAGATAGGTTTGAAAATGGGACTTGCTCCATTGATGTGCAGGTTTCTTCATCAACCAATTGTAGGCCTTTTCATTCAGCTTCTTCATATCCTTCATTGCTTTTTTGAAGTGGGGAACTATTGTTGTTCTGGCTATTCACCATAGAACATCCTTTAAAGTTTTCCTCTTGAACATATTTTTGAAGTTGGTATACAAATGTCTCACATAAAATATGTGGTGGGAATTAGGGATGACTTTTTGAAAGACCGGAATTAACCCCCTTTTGCTTATCACTGATAACTGTCCATCCTTATTGATTGACAATACCAACATCAACGGCCAATAACTCTAAGAATCAAATCCAACTAGACTTATTCTCTATTTCTACCACTGCGTACGCTATAACCAATGTTTCATCATTTGGGTCAATGCCAACAGCACAAAGTAGCTAATCTCTATTTACACCCCTTAAATAACACACATTTAATCCTATCAATGGTTTGCACCCTGACTTAAACCCCTATTTACAAGCCCCCAAGCACACATATATCTTTTGGAACCTCTGCATATCCAACTTCACCTTCATTGTGCTTCCAGGTTAATCTTCCTCACTTTCTCAGCAAAATCTCACAACTTTGTGTATTGCTCTACATTATTTTCCTTAACGATCTTCAAAGCCCTATCTAAAGCCATGTAAGCTTTCATCCTTATACAACTGTGATTCCACTCTAATTCGACAGTTGCTAAAAAGGAATCAACATGCCATGTGGGATTAAGTTTTATCCTATCCATGTACAAATTCGTCAGCAAATGGGACTTCAAGTTCTTGTTTGCCTAAGTTCTCCCACAGGTGTGGTGATCAAGTATAGTCTTGATTTGTATGATGTTTGAACCATGCATTTTTCCAGCACAACACATCCAAGGGCATCTTTTGCACACTTTACTGTGACTTTCAACTTCTCATTCCTAGGAAAATGGATTTCCCCATATCTAATCACTAGGGAGCACATTATGACAACTTGCTTGAATTGCACATGATCCCTAAAAACAAGCCCTAATATAAGAGTGAGATTATTCATGTCTATTTTCTCATTGAACTCTAGAAAGTGCTCATGTTTTTTTTCCTCCTTCATCATCTTCAGAGTACACACTCTCTAGGGCATTAGAGTTATAGTCTGGATCATCAACCACATTTTGTTCCACATTTGTAGTATCATCTTCTTCTTCCCTTTGTTATTATTTTCTTGCCCAGCTTTGCTTAGATTGCCTTGCACTTTTTTGCTCAGAACCCCTTTCATATGTTTGCTTAAAGTTCATTTCTTTTATGTGCTCAGATTCCCTTTCATTTTCTTCCACAATAACATCAAACTTGGAAAACACTGGGTTATCAGCATCATTCCCATAGTTACTTTCTTCAAACTCATTATCATTTTCTTCAGCAGCTTCTTCATTCTCTTATTCAACATTCCCCTTAAAACTAATAGGAACATCAAAGAAGACTTCAACATCCTCCTCTTCTACATCTCACTCTCATACCTCAATATCCCCTTCTCCTACCTTAGCCACATATTTCCACTTGTTCTCATCTGGCCCTTCACCATTTTTCTCTTTCTGACCATTTCTAGAATCAGCATTTGTCTCTCCTACACCTTAGTCGCACATGTTTGCACTAGTTGAGATGTGCAACAATCATCCACTTCTGGCCTTTCAATAGCTAACAAGCCCTTATATCTTCTTGGTTTAAGTAGTGTTGGCCCAACATCCCCCTCTAAACTATTTACCTCCTCAATTACCAATTTACATGGACCACTGACTTCCATAGACTTCAGAAACTGCTGTTCTTGGGTTACGACTTATTATGTCATCAATTCTTCAATGTACATCTCAATCACTCTATCTTTTGGAACAAAATTGCATATCGTTTGAACATTGGAATCACTTTCAATCGGCTTCAAACCGGTCCATGTTGGGAATCTTATAATAGTAGTTCATTAACCGCTCACTGTATCCAACTGCCTCCACCATATCTTTTATCACCGTCAGTGACATGAGGTCTATATCACAGTTATCTATATATGTCATTTTCCCCCCAATGTAGAGGTCATAACTTATCTCCCCACCATGATGCAATCCAATAGAAAATAGTTCTAGATATACTAAAATTCACAAAAACAAACCCTAATTGAAAGCCAACAACAAACAAAAGCAATTGCATTTTAACCTAATCAGAAGCCAACAAAAACCAAAGCACAAGATTCTTCACAAAACAAACCACATATTATGAAAAGTCAAAGCCGACACACTATATGCAAACAGCCAAAGCATGTTAACCATTTCTCGACAAGAATAAACAAAACAATAAAGCAACAAACCACAACAAACCACCTTATCTTGACAAGAATAAACAAAGCAACAAACCACCTGATATCAACAAGAATAAACAAAGCAACAAATCCATTATCCAACAACTTAGTAACCAATTCGAATTAAGAAAGCATAAAACCACCTTTTCAAACAAGAATAAACAACGCTACAAACCCATTATCCGACACCTCAGGAACCATTTCGAATTAACAAAACATAAATCCACCTTTTTAGATAAGAATAAACAAAGCTACAAACCCTTAATACAACACCTCAGGAACCATTTCAAATTCTCAAAGCATAAACCCACCTTTTCAAACAAGAATACACAAAACCCATATTCAACCAATTCCGATAAGTAAGTTCAGTGTGCATTTGGAATCATCAAAAGCACAAAAAAAAACTTACAATAGGTAGGCGTCGTTTCATCGGGATCCTCGCGCACATACCACCCCATGTCGAATCCTTCAATTTTTCTTCCAAGCTAATGAAACCCCTTTCCAACACCAATGAAGTGAGGGAAGTGAGCCGACAAGATGATTTGGGGTTTTCACTAAATTTCTAATTTGATTGTTCGAGATTTGGAGTCACTGGTATGAGAACTAGGGTTAGGGTTCTTCTTTTTCTGGAATTGGGAATTGAATTTGGTTGATAGGGTTTAGGTGTACCCGGGGGGGGGGGGAATGAATTTGAATGGCACACTTTACAACGTACTTTTACTTTTTTAATTTTTAAAATTTTAATTTAAATATTTTTTTTTAATTTTAATGGAATATCCACGTGTCATCCGATGAGAAAGCCATGTGTATTGGAAATCTCAGCTAGATGCCATTTGACGTGAAAACTTTGGGTGTGGTGCCACATGGAATCCATCTGGGCAAGGAACTGAGCCCTGCATCAAGCCCCGTCAACATTTAACTGAGAAATTCACAGACTAACTAACGGAGGTATAACATTGCAAAAAATTCTAAATATGGAGTATGATAGTGTGGTTCGATTCATAGTTAATATAGTTTTTTGTAATTTACCCAAAAATATATATAACCATTAACTACTAGCCTCTCTAGTTTTGAGTCTACACAAAAATATATTATCGTATTTTATTTAAAAATAAAATAAAGAAGAAGAAAACGAAATTGGTACTAACAAGATTCCTTTTCCACCCATTGTAAGCGTCACCACTTCCATAAATTATTATGTAATTAGGACAAAATTTCACAACTGACATTTGAATTATTAGGAGTGTACGTAAACGTCACATGAGATTCCTACGCTAAGTTATTTAAGCGTCTTTAATTGGCAAAAATATTCTTAGAAAGCGATCCGCATGATATGGAGACGTTACGTTTTGATTAATTTTTAATTAAAATAATGAATGATACGTTTTGATTAAATTTTAACTGAAATAACGAATGAGGTAGTTTGCATGTAGTCTAATATCTTAGAAGATAGGGTATTGATTTTCTACACATGCATCCCGGGTTCAAAACTTTCCTTTCTATTAGCTTTTTTAATAGTTTCGAATCATCCACCTCTCTTTAATAATAATTTTAAAAAAAAATGAATGACGTAGTTTATATGAATTTGAGTTACCAATTGGCAAAATTCCTAGCTTTGACTAATATTTGCACAAATTTATTATAATTTAAGTACGTTTATGCAATTTTGGGATATAATAATGTGTCTATCAAGCAAGAGTGTTGATCACGTAGTTATAAACAAGAAGTAGGGTCCATTTATAAAATGAATTACGTGCAACTAGGATGCCATAATGGTATATTCTAAATCAATCACTAGATGAGATATGCAAAATAGAAACAAACAATGTCTGGTAGGTTTAAAATAGAGTAGTTTAACTACATACTAATTTTTACTTCTAACACGTTCCTTTTAATTTTCGATCGTCTAATCGAATGAATTAAAGAAATCAATAAGAATAAGTAGGGTCTATTTATAAAATGAATTACTTGCAACTAGAATGCCATCATGGTATATTCTAAACCGCTCGACGAGATATGAAAAACAGAAACACACAACGTGTGGTAGGTTCTAACTACATGCCAATTTTTACTTTTCATAAGCTTCTCTCAAATTGCAGCTCTGTAATCGAATAAATTGATGAAAATGAATGAAAAAAAATTAACAAGAGTATGTAAGACATAAAAATAAGTATGAATAACATTATCCTTATCATTGTGATGCATTTTCAAACCAATAATTCAATGTGATGTGATAAAATAATAACGTTTTGAAACATGTTAGGCTCAAAATACCACTAATGTGGGAAAGGAATCATGAGGATCCCTTTCCACCAAATTCACAAAGTTTCGGGCCGTTGAAATCACACCTCCGGATCCCTTTCCGAACTTGGTTGATTCGGTGAGAAGGGATCCGGAGTTGCTTGTGAATCTCTCCTCATAATCACACCTCGACATGTCGTGTCTTTGTCGCTCTTGCTCTTTTGCGCTTTCAGTTGAATCTCCTTCTCGCACTTTACCAACGACAACTATATATATATATATATTAATTCGTGGACCATCACAATTCACAGCTCTCCCTCCTCATCCCAATCTCTCCATTTCTCATCGCGCTTTCTTTCTCCTTTCCTTCCACGCTTCCTTCCATCCTCCCAATTTCTTTCTTTTGACTTACCCCATTCACTTCCCCGTTCCTCTCATCTTTCATTCTTCCTCCGCGCAATCCCAATTCCCATCAATGGCGGAAGCTAACGGTACGATCCTTTCACGACCCATTTTTACTTTTTAACTGTCTTTGTTGGGTAATTCTTGGATCATGTATCTCTTAACAATCTATGGTGAATTGGGTATATATGATTGGTTTTTCATGGGTTTGATCAATTATTGTATATGGGTTTGATCTGTAATTTTAACTCTTTTTTTTTTTTTTTTTTTTTTTTGGAGGTAAAACTTAAATCTTCTGAATTTTTGGTTTGAAACTATGGTTTTGGGATCGTTTCTTGTTCCGATTTGCAGATTTTGTTTTGGGTAAGTCTGGAATTTTGTGGATCAACTTTGTCCAGAAAATTGGTGGGTGCTTGTATGTTGCAAGTTGCAACTGCTTCCACTGCTTTTTAACCCAAGACTTGCCTTGGTTTTAGCTTAAGAGAGTAGAAAAGTAAGTTTAGAATGGTAGTTCGACAGCAAAAAGATTCGAAAAGGAGTACATTTTTTTTTTTTTTTGGGTTTCTGTGTTATTTGATTGAAGGGATGCACATCAGTATGATTATCGGAAACACCCTGCTCCGGTGGAGGAAGGCTGTGTAGGGATCTATTTCGATGAGAGAGTTCAAAAGAATGAAATTTTGATGCTAACAATAAGACAGACTACCTGCGAAGATCATATAATTTCTAGTTACAATGTACTTGAAATGATTCTGAATAACCAAATGCAATTCCATGATTGGAATTCGAAATGACTAGGCACGATGAATCACTTGACAAAAGAATTAACGACCAAACGAGGAATGTAGTCTGCATCCTTGTGCATTTTTTTGGGGACTTCATTTTAACGTGGGTATTATAGTGCCAAATGATAATTAATAAGCATTATAGTGCTTTGTGATACTGTACGGACCAGCCATCCTTTACACAGAACTTGGTCGACTATGTAGCTGCTGTATACAAACATGCTAAAAATGTGGAAACTTTGCATTGTCTTTGCAAAATCTGTAAGTTACATGTCTTTTGTCATATCCAGTAGCGGTGTCAAGACTTTTTCTCTCTATATAGGATCGCTTTTGGGCCCTTGACTGCAATGTGATGGCATTGGAGCAAGTTTCAACCATGAATTACCGTCCTCCTTTTCCTTGGAAAACCTGTGAATCTGTTCAGTGTTACTAGATGATCTTATGCTTTCATTATATTCCGAGTGCAGTCACTCCTAAGGTTTTTGTTTTGTGGAGTTTCTTTCTCGTATTTCACTTACCGATTATTCTTTTTCCTTTTCACTGAAATGCTAGGAATACTATGTATATGTATGAAAGCTTAAAATTGGTCAGGCGTTTGATTGTTTACAACGTTGTTTCCCTTAAATTGTTATCAGAAGTGCAGATAAGTTGTGGAACTTGTTGATTAATTGTAAAGTTCAGAGTGTTGTAAGAAATGTGGATGTCTGCTATATATAGTGCTTTGTGATACTGTTTGGACCCGTCATCCTTTACACAGAACTTGGTCAACTATGTAGCTGCTGTAAGAAAAGACTTGAGTACTTGGATCTAACGGAAGACATGACACACGACCGAGCGCAATGGTGTTCTAGGATTCATGTAGCCGACCCCACTTAGTGGGAAAAGGCTTTGTTGTTGTTGTTGTTGTTGGAGTTTTCTTTCTCGTATTTCACTTGCCGATTATTCTTTTTCCTTTTCACTGAAATGCTAGGAAAGCTTAAAACTGGTCAGGCCTTTGATTGTTTACAATGTTTTTTCCCTTAAATTGTTATCAGAAATGCAGATAAGTTGTGGAACTTGTTTATTAATTGTAAAGTTCAGAGTGTTGTAAGAAATGTGGATGTCTGCTATATATAATTGGGAAATTTTGGGTGCTTTGGTTATTCATTGTTACTCCTCTTCTTTTTGGCAGGGGTGGAAACACAAGAAGGAACCCTTTCTGTGGCCGCTGCATTTGCTGCACATCAAGAAGGTAACACCAAACCCGTCTTATTTTTCATTCATGTCCCCTTGCCCAGTGTACACAGAAAACCAATGAAGATTACTTAAGTATATAAACAATCAATCATCATGTACTTGTGCGGTTATGCCAATTGAGCAGTCACTTTTTCCATTTAATTTCACGCTATCAGCTGGTTGTTGAGGAATTTAAGTTTATTGTTAGTATAGATGAGCAATTGTGTTTTATATTCTTTTCATATGATTTTTATTGGTATTCAATTTATAACATCGATCTAATGAAATAATTCCATTTACTCATTTGCTTTGTCAGAAAAAGGCGGTACTTTGCAACCCAATCTGGTCTTCATATTTATCATGCTTTGCCTTTTGTTTTGTTTGTTCAACCAGTTGTACAGGATAGAGACCACAAATTCTTAACAGAAGCAGTTGGGGAAGCTTATAAGGGAGTTGATTGTGGAGATGGAGGCCCATTTGGTGCAGTTATTGTTCGGAATGATGAGATAGTCGTAAGCTGTCACAACATGGTTCTAAAACACACTGATCCGACTGCCCATGCAGAGGTTACTGCCATAAGAGAGGTTAGACTAATATATAACTGCGTTGCCTCGTGAGAGGGGTTTTGATTACTGCAATAATGATTTTTAATATAATGTCAAAACTGTTGGATCCGTACCAGCATTTGGGCATAAATGTGTTTAGGGAAGACTTAAGGCCATGTCCAATTTGTTTGGTTTTTATAACCAAGTGAGCTTGAAATATATATACGAAAGGTTTCTATGATCGGCATTGTCATCAGAGTTGTAAGCATGATGAGTATGTATGTACATAGATCTTAGCAAATGTGTTTTATATGCTTGTTTCCAGTTTCTACAAGTTATAGTTATGATGTTGATTCTGTCATCTGTTATATTCTTTATCTTGTACTTCCAAATCGGAAACCTCCGAATGCTTTTTCCGATGTCATTCTTGGGACAATTGTTTTCCACAGGCCTGTAAGAAGCTCAATCAGATCGAGCTCGCGGACTGTGAAATATATGCATCCTGTGAGCCATGCCCAATGTGCTTTGGTGCTATCCATCTTTCAAGACTTAAGGTCCAATTTTCGAACTTTAAATTTCGTTGAAATAATAACAAGGTCATACTTTTATGCGGTTTAAACGATCTGTCTTTGCTCTTTCTGAACAGAGGTTGGTTTACGGAGCTAAGGCCGAAGCCGCCATAGCAATTGGTTTCGATGATTTCATTGCGGACGCGTTGAGGGGCACTGCATTTTATCAGAAGGCTAACATGGAGATCAAGAAGGCTGACGGGAACGGCGCGGTGATTGCTGAACAAGTATTCGAGAAAACGAAGTCCAAATTTCACATGTATTGATTTCACGATTAACCCCCCGTCGGTGAGACATCCAAAGCCACTGATTTAAGTCTCATTTCTCTTCGTTATTATTACAAGACATTACACAAATTCAAGAAAAAAAAAAGATTTCAATGTTTCCTCAATAATGGATTGTCATTGAACATCCAAAACAATTCGTGTCGAGAAATTAAATTCCGAGCTCGTTTCCATGAGTTGTTCCGTTGCATGACTTTGTCGTTATGAATTTCCGACGGTGCTCGCGTGTCGTGCTTGAAGTGGTAGGAATGTATTCGAAAATGTATCGGATTCTCAACTACACCATCATACAATGCAACTGCTGCGCTCGTAATCTCGACAAAACTCGAACTTGATTCGGCTCAAATTTCCGAATCTCCAACAGAAACGACCTTGACAAGCCTGAATTTACGAAATGCAACATGAATGTACCTTGACAAGCCGGCTTAGCACACGGCCGTTGCGACCCCTTCTCTCATTAGACAAAGCAAGTCTAACTAGTTCATACGCCACGCCCTGTTGCAAGACGTGTATCTATCAATGTTTTAAAAGGCTCGCCTCAAGGCGCACCTAGACGCCCTGTGAGGCTAGGCTTGATGGTTGCCATCTCTGTTTTGAGGGAGTGGGCGAAAGGAGCCGGAAGGCGTAGCCGGAGCTGCCTAGGCAGGCTGCAGGGGATTTTTTTTTTTTTTTTTTTAATACTTCCAAACCCAAATTTTGTGTAGGGTTTTAACTAACTCATACCTCTTCCTTGCACTTATCTCTCTGCCTTGTTTTCTGATTTTTATTTTTTATATAAAGGATGTGTGTGCCGTCTGCGACTCTACATGCATTATTATATGTGTGCTCATTGTGCTTTTCATCCTCTATATTTATATATATATATATGTGTGTGCGCGCGCGTTCAAGATGATTATTGATTAATAATCTTTTTTTTTAATATAATATGTGTATGCTCAGTGCATATATTAAAAAATTTAGGTCCGGTGAGGCGTGAGGCGAACTCAGTGTATATATTAAAAAATTTAGGTTTCGTAAGGCGTAAGGCGTGAGGCGAAGCTATCCCTCGGACGCCTCGCCCCTTTAATACATTGGTATCTATACACGGCTTATATACGCACATCTTTAAACGATTCCCTGCTTAACAAACACAAACACAAACACAAATCCAAGTATATGTATATGCATCTGCGTAGTTCTAATCATCGTATACACCGAAGAAAACAATACAGGACATCTCTCACTGTCGTATCCCGTTTTAACTGCAAGCACCAGTCTTGCAAATCACGAACAAAGAGGTTCAGGTCATTGAAACATACAGAGATCTCTAAAACATGAAACGCCGATCTTTCGCTTGTAACAGCAATCACCGCTACCAGTCATGCAAACCATGAGAGAGCTGCCTTCTCACACATAACATCTCCAAATTTTGAACATCACTACAATCGAGCGCGATAATAAAGAGGCTAACTTCGATCAATTTATGTCGACGAACATCTCAGGTGCAAGAACATATGGGAAAGAAGCGAAAACTTTCTAATTTATAAATTATTCATCAATTATCTACACGTCTAAAGAGTATGGACAAAACTATGAAACGACTAGACAACGATCGGAAAACCATTATTCATAAACTGTTCTATGAAATCAACAAAAGAAGGAAAAAAAATCGTAAAATGCAAACACCTGCTGCAGCATTGATCAAGCAAATTTATATGAACAAAGAATTCAAGGTTCTGAAGAGTCCCCGAACTTACATCAATGCCTTCCTTCAATCGATTGTTCACCCGCCATTGGACCGCAACTCATCCAATGCAACTTTTATCTGATTCTGAACCAAGTCCAATCGCTTCGAGTACACCTCCAACTCCAAAATCTGCTGCTTCCTCCACTTGTCATCCGCCACTTCCCCGCCCCCGAAATTCAAGTTCATCAAAGGCCCGCCGAAGCTCAATGGAATCGGATTGAATGCCAACCCTCCGAACCCTCTGGATGGCCCGACACCCATTGCATTACTCAGTAACTCCTTGAACAATGGAGACAGACAACTCTTCACCGTCTCCTCAATCAACCCGTGAACATTACAATTGCTGCCATTAGTACCAGCACCACCATTGTTACTGTTAATGCCGTTCTTATTATCTTTTATTACCGGTGTTGGCTCAACGAAACCGCCACGTAGCGGCGGAGGAGGGGGTTTCTCGTCGGCCCTTGGCTGTATTCGCGAGCGTTTGCGTGATCTCGGCGTGGACTTCTTATCGCCGGCGAAACCGGCAGCCTCCTCGGCCTTTATATCGTAACTGTTGAAATTAGGATTGTTAGGGTTAGGGATCGGATCTTCATCGTCGAGGGCGTTCTCGTCGGCGGCGCCAATTCGGCCGATATTGCTCCAGATCTTGCGGGAGATCTCGAAGGTGGCCTGATCGTGAGGGCTCTTGAAGCTGACCTCTTTGCCGCTCTCGATTTTGGTGACTACGTTTCGGTACTTCTTCTTCAGCCGCCGGAGCTTCTCGACGAGCTGGTTCTTGTTGAAGTCAAGCTGGAGCTTGCACTTGATCTGGTCGTAGAACAAAGCGGTGTCGTTTGGGCCCTGGTGCGAGCCTCTGCTGCCTCGCTGCGTCGTGTAGTCGAGGAAGCCCTGTAAAAGCTCGATCTCGTCCTCGTCGGTCCACAGCCTCTGAAATAATCTCCGAGAATCGTCGAGCACAGCCGGTTTTTTCTCCTCCGGCAGGGACGACAACGCGGGGTGCCGTTTGGGATCGGACGACAACACGGCGTCGTTTGTGATTACGGTGGTTGGAGCAGAAGCGAGGGTCAGAGGCACGGTAGGCGGGGCCCGAGCGGGAAGGGCGACGGTGACGGTTGGAGTTGCGGTGGCGATGGCGACGGGGAGAGAATCCGTGGCGCCGGCGGATGACGTGGAAGGGGAGGCGGAGTTGATGACGTCGTCGTCGTCGTCGACGTCGACGTCATCTTCTTCCTCGTCCTCATCGACGACGTCGTCGTCTTCTTCCTCGTCCTGAGAGGAGGAGGAGAGGTCGCCTTCGGGGAGAACGGCGTCGTCTTGGTCGGGAGCCATGATAACGTCGCGGCGGTGACGGGGGAGGGCGTTATGGGAATTTCGGGTAAAATTGGCGGGTGGGGGGAGTACGTCGTGGGTGGGGTTAGAAATTATGTTTAGAGAGAGAGAGAGAGAGAGAGAGAGAAAGAGAAGTGGTTGGGGTTAGGGCGAGAGGGAAGGGGCCAAGTCTCAAGTGGGTTTTGGTTGGTTCACGGGGTTTCGTTGTAGTTTATGCGTTGCGTGTGGGACTCTTGATCGATGGTGGACTTGGTTGGGTGGTGGTGGTGGCCTTGACCAAACTTTTGAGTTAATTAATGAATGAAAATGTTTAGCAAATCCTTCGTCTGATCCAATCATGTCGATTTTTTTTTTTCAATTTAGGAATCGAATCTTATTCGGCAAACTTTTCGAACTCAATCATAATGAAAGTATATTGAATCGAATTGATAAATTTTGAGTTAGTTATTATTAGTAGATCCGCCACCTGCTTCAATCATTTTGATGTTTTAAAATTTAGGAATCGAATCTGATTCGACAAACCTTATCGAATTCAATCAAAATGAAAGTAAATTGAGAATTGAGTTGATTGATTTGGGAATAAATAAGGGCGTGTTTACGTATCCGTAATCGGAATGAAAATGTGGAATTGAATTCCGATTACGAAGTACTCCAGTGTTTACTAAACATGAAGGAATTAAAAAAGCAGTGGGGCCCACACAAATTTTGGAATTCAATTCCTTGTATTGGTGGAATTGGATTCCCTAGATATAGATGGTAATCCAATTCCTGCTTGTTTGGGCAATCGAAATGACACTTTTGTTCCCTTTATGCCCTCACTTACTTTTTTTTATTTCCAAGACTATTCTTTATAAACCCATTAAAGTATATAAAATATTTGATTTGGGACAAGGGCATTTTAGTAATCATACTGGTTTATAATCCGATTCTACTGAATTAGTAAATAACTTTTATGGAATTTTATTCTGATTCCAGTACATTTAAGTAAACAGCTTCAACAAGAATCCGATTCTGACTTCTCCTTATTCCAACTCCTCCTTAATTCAATTTCTCCTCAATTCAATTCCTTATATTTTCATTACCGTTACGTAAATGCGCCATAAATGGACTATATGAGCGTATTAAACTATACATCCAAAGTTTAAATCTCTTTTTAAATTAAATTAAAATATCGTTTCCAATTAAAGGGAAGATTTGGATTCAATAGGATTGGTCTGAGTAGTAAGTCGAAAAAACTGATTCAAACTCATGAACGTAGCTCACATTTTGTGAGCAACTATTGAGTTTTTCCAAAACAATTTTCATAGTTATTAAGCAAAAATATTGTAAGTCATTTGAAAATGGTCTTACTATTTATTGAGTCGTCCGTATTAGAAAATGTGACATCAATGTGGCGGTTTAGCTTTGTGTCTACATAACATTTACGAAGAAATACATTGTATCACATCTGTATTCGAGTAAAGCCCACTTATACAAATTGGTCTCGTCTCTATTTTATTGTACCGGAAACATGGTCCAGTACACAAGTATCGAAATACAAGTCGTTGAAAATTTCATTTTTCAAATATCCAATGACTTGTATCATGATATTTAGCTGTATTCCCGAGACACTGAAAAGTAAATACAATCCCCACCTTAAAAAAAGGTTATGCGGATGCAAGGTAGGGGATAGCAGTCATTATCGGACAGTGGCCGGCAGCCATTGATATATGCTTTCCTCCATTCACATCCATTCCTCTTTAACCATCACTTTAACTAATTCTCTATTCTTCTCAACAACCTTCTTAACTATGGAAACCTATCTATCCTTAGCTCAACCTAAATATATCCTTAAAACTCCGAACCCTAGCTGCAATAATTCTCTCGCACACGCAGACCAAGCCAGTGATCCAAAGGGAAGGATCGAGAACGAGCTCTCTCTATCTCTGGTTTGGTCTGCACATCTTGTTTCGAAAATGGCATGGCGGCCGTTGCTTAGTTGGATCATGTCGTCTTCTTCGTCTTCTTATTCATCCTCAGAGTACGAATCTGACTCTGAGGATGATCTTCATCATCATGACCCTGGCAACAACAACGTCCAGCAAGCACAAAAGCGTCACAATGTTGATGATCATGACAACGAGGACGATGACAATGACGTTTCATACGAACCCCATGAGGATGAGGAAGAGGACGAGGAGAAAGTGGAGGAACCGAAATCCAGCTCCACCTCCGACTACAGCTTCACAATATACGAGCCCCGTCTGAAACGACGACGTATTGACCATGCAAATGAGGCCTTGACGTCCCTACAAGAGGTAAAGAAACGGCGGGGTAAGAGGGTTTGGTGCAAGGAGGACGAGCTTGAGCTGTTGCGTGGCTTTCTTGACCACTACGGCACCAGACAAACCAAAATTACCAGAACCACCACCAAGGAAACATCGTCGTTGTACAACGAAATCAAGCCGAGGCTAAAGCTTGAATGCAACAAGACAAAGATGGTGGAGAAGCTGAGAAGACTAAAGAGGAAGTACCACAATGTCGTGAAGAAAATGAACGAAATCAACTCCTCCGGGAAAGAGTTTCGGTTCAAAAACGCACACGACAATGCGGTTTTTGAGCTTTCACGTACGATTTGGAATGTCGAAAACAGAAATAATTTTGTCGTGGAATCGCATAATAATAACGTTATGGTGAAGAGGGAGGAGGACAATGTGGCGGCGAGTAGTAGCGTTGCGGATCATGAGAGGCCAACGACATGGTTTGATGAGGATAATAATGTTACTAATGTGGATGATAACATCAATACCGGTCATGATGTGAGACGATTGATAGTAGGGTTGGCTATGAATCCAATGCCTCTGAGTTTGAAAGGTAAAATGGGAAGTGGCGGCGGCGGTGGCAGTGGTGGGGTTGGAGAAGTGGTGGAGGATGAGAAGTGGAGGCAGCAGCAGATTTTGGAGTTGGAGGCTTATGAAAAGAGGTTGGATTTGGTGCAGCATCAGGTTAAGGCAGCTTTGGAGGAATTGAGGACCAAGGGAGGAGCTCACTAATATTATTTTCAATTTCATCTAGTTTTTAAGATTTTTTTCCCTGTTGAATAGGATAGAAAAACTTGCTTGTTAATCATGATTTGGTAGAGCAATTTTTGAAATTAAATCCACTTTTTTGTGATAGGAATTTGATGCCTGATGTAATTATGTCCTTTGTTAAAAGACAGATTTTGTATTGACAATATTGATATTAATTTGCGTCGATGTTATTTTATCAAGAATGAATGCATGTGAGAGAAAAATTTAGGTAGGACAGCCTAATCAGCTGGATGGTCAGACACTCTCATATAAATTAACCAAGTCTTTACAAAAAGAAAACAAACCCACTGTATTAGATATCATCCAAACTAACGTAAGTACAACTCCTAATGCACATTTACCTACCCTTCTGTGAAGATTTGACCTACTATTTGTGATGTAATATATAGTAGTCACTAATATTGTTCTTGTTTGGCGGTGAAAACTTTAGAACTATACTGTGGTTGGTTGGGTTTATCGGTTATTGGGCTTTAATGAGTTGGACACAAACCCAAAACCCGGCCCATTAACTTGGATCCACCTACACATTCTAACCATCACATTCCCCACCTTATCCAACTCTCTCTGTTTCAGAGCAAGCATATACCCTCCAATGGATCCCTTTCCTTTCTCCTCCACCCAGATGCACACACATCACTGAAACACCCACATACAGAAACAACATCACATTCCCAAATTGACCCTAATCTTCTCTCTCTACACTTTCTCTCTCTTCTTTCTTGTCACTAACAAAGGAGCTCTGAGAATTGCGGACAAAACACGGAGAGGATTTACAGACATCCATGGCTTGTGCAACAACAAGACCCACCTTTTCTTTCCATTTCTCAACCACTTTCCCCCAACATTCCCACCTAAAACCCATAACCCAATCCCTCCTCCCAAAGATCCAAACATTTTCACTCTCTCTTACTCATATCCCCTCAAAACCCCACAAGTTGTCTGCAAACTCCATTGATGTCTCAAAGGAAGACAAAAACTCCATTGATGTGTCAAAGGAGGACAAACCCACTTCAGACGAGCCCACATCGCCCCCTCCAGCCTCCTCCGTAGACCCACCAGAGCCTGTGCCGGAGGAACTCGAAACGACGTTCGACAAGCGGCGGCTGGAGGAGAAGTTTGCGGTGTTGAACACTGGGGTGTACGAATGCAGGTCTTGTGGGTACAAGTACGACGAGGCGGTGGGTGACCCGTCATATCCAGTGCCGCCGGGATTGCCGTTTGATAAGTTGCCGGAGGATTGGAGGTGTCCGACGTGCGGGGCGGCGCAGGGGTTCTTTGTGAGTAAGAGTGTGGAGATTGCTGGGTTTGCGCAGAACCAGCAGTTCGGGCTGGGTGGGAATACACTCACTTCTGGGCAGAAGGCTGTGCTCATATTTGGGGGACTCTTCCTTTTCTTTGTGCTTTTCTTATCTGGGTATTTTCTGCAATAATCGAGGAGGTATGGGGGTTTTTTTCTTTCTAAATAGTGAAAATATATAATAATTCAATTCGCTTGAAAATTCTCAGAGGTATAGTGTCGTTTTGTTTTGTAAGATTTGTGTATTGAATTGTGGCAACAGTGGAGGAATTGTTCTCTCTTGTTACTTAATGACATACAACTCAGAACAATTGGTATTCAAGATTGTGGTTCAATTCTTTTCTCGGAATGTTTACTTGGAACGGGGGAAGTCATAAATCGAGAAAATAATGAAATGATGGGTATGTGTTTAACTAGCAACTTCTATGGATTACGGATATTAAAACGAAACACAGGCCGTGCTTTTGTTACAACTTACGTGTGTTAGTAAACGCATAGAAAGTCGGAGTCCAAATAATTCCATTTCACATATGAAGATGCATCGAGATTTGCCATGGACGAGGTTTGAGGTTCGAGTTTCGTCTGAGACGGTAAAACTCATGAACAAATACAAACATTCCGTTGATCCCAAACACAAGTTAATCTTGCCGTTCCTGCGTTTAATCTCGCTTTGCGAAAGTTATAAAAATGGTTCCCTCAGCAGAACCCTTTGAATTCCACAAATCATATCATACTTCAAAACAAATATCCAGGTACAAAAACAAACTAATAAACAGAAAATGTTCTTGGAGCAACGGACATTGGATTCCTTTCGGACGACATACTATTTCCCGACATGCTAATGATACGCCAACCCCCTACTTCTGATTTGGGTAAGCGACTTCCCGAATTCTTCCTATGAAACTATGACAACAAACTGCAACTATGTACTGCATACTTTACAAACTACCTAAGAAATAGTTAGTCGTATATGCCCGCCATAGCCGGTTAGTACCTGTGAGAGCTTCTGGTGAAAAGTCGTCCTGTGTTTAATGTAACAAACAATCCTGCGGTTTTCGATACTGACTGCACAAATTAGGGAGGCTGAATCACTTTCACATTGGAACCACAGGATCAGCAGCCTCTAGTAACTGAGAGTAATTTGTGTGGCGGCACCTCTTACAAAGAACAAGACAACATCATACAAATCCTGAGGAATCACTCCCGGTCTGGTCTCTACGGTTTGACATCCTGGGGAGCACGCGTCTTAACTTGATAGACCTTCTTGACCTGCTGTTGCTCATATGCTCCACCATATCCAGTTTCCTGTTTCCTTGCATGTAATCCACCATTTCCAGTTGGTTCTTTGCTAATCCACTTGGTAGGTGGCAAAGGAAGAGCACCCATGTTCTGCACAAACTGGTGTTTACGGTTTGCTTGGTATCCTGAATTTGGCATCCCAGGTGGCGCCGCTGCAGGTGACCTGGTTCTCGCACTATCTTGGACTGTTAAACTAGACATCGCGGATCTCAGGTTGTACTGTTCTTGATCTTGTACTCTATCTTTTGTCCTAAAATTCTGTTCTTGATATTGTACTCTTTCTTGTGCCCTAAAATTCTGTCTGTCACCTTGTATACCATTTGATGCAGGAAATCTAGGCCTAGCCATCATGACCTGGGGATTGAAGGAATTTCCATTCATTGCTTCTACGCGGAAGCCCCTTTCATACCCAGAGGGCCCAGCTGGCCTTGGTCTGTTGACTGGATAATTTCCTGCATAATTTCCGGAATTTCGTAATGGCGGTTGATCCAATAATCCAGAGGATGAACCATTAGGTCTAATATTAAGGGTGCTCTTGACCAGTCGGTGAGCTGCTTCTCCCAACATGGGTCCAGCAATTGCTCCAGGTATTTGCGGCCTATAAAACAAATGCATCAGGTTCAGAAACCACAATCCAGAGCCCCGAGTTGTAGTTATAAGATAAATATCCTCAGAGATAGATCTGTTACTAAACAAAAAACGTGTAAAATCAGGACAAATGGAATTCAACTCACCTCTCTCTGCCTTGGCGTCGAGGACCTTCGTCGTGCCACAACGTAGGGAATGGTTTGATGTCCGTAGGTCTTACAACCTAAAGACATTTAAAAGGACAATCCAAATTAGATCCCCCTGATAAACAAGTGTAATAGAAAAGATAACAGAAAAAGAGGGCAAGAAATTGAAGCATATTCCCAACTGTCTTAGCATCTCCAAACACAGAGCAAAGTGACGATAAATCAACACATGAAATGATAATGAAAAGCTCAACTCATATGCAGCTACTCACATTTTTTTTTTACCATAAGAAAATAGAAATAACATAATATTTTTCATTAGAAAATTCACATTGAACAAAGCCACAAGGATGTAATATTTTCATGTATGCAAACCATGAACTAGAGAAACACCAAACACAGGAACCTGATATATCACATATCCCAGCTTTAACAGGAAGAACGAATGTCTTCACAAGGGGGTATGAGCAAAAGGTATGTAACATGCCATGTAAAACGTAATGACAAGGACTACAACGAAAAAATTTCCATAAGACTTGGACAAGAACTTTAAAGAATCCAGATACCTTTCTGGGCAGGATCACACCCTTGGGAAGTTCTGGGTTGTGTTTACGAGTTGCCGGATTAAGATATGTAACATTTCTGCATACGAAAAGGCCCACCATGAAAACGCTGCATTCTCTTTAAATACTAAAACAACAATAGTAGAGGCTCTACTTACAAGACTTGGTTATAATCAAGGTCAGGGTAACCACGAATAGGGGAAGGGATTACATATCTAAAGCCATTTCTCTCAGTTAACCAAAGGAATCCATTCATTCCGCCACTGCAAAAAAAAGAAAAAGAAAAAAGAGGGTCGCAACTCTAGCGAATTCCACAGTGACAATTAGACCATGAGTCCCCATAAATTACTACTAAAATAACCTACCTAGCAATTTGGTCTATCTTCGCTGCATGTCTTTCATGTAGCGGTGTCTGATAAAACTGTTGGTAGTACATACTGATTTGTGCTGCCAAAGGATGAGAAGGATAAACATAAAGCAAATCAAGCATCACGCTATTCCGAACCTGCTCTTCTTCCTGCATATGCCAAAGAGTATGAACCCTCAAAATGTAGTAGTAAAATGAGGGCCAATTTATCTTGGTTATTGCAGTTAAAGATGTCCAAAATAGCCCTATGGTAAGATAGAGAATCCGAGATAAGTCGTAGGCTCATTGCAGCCCACCATACAAGATCTTTAACTCCTACTCTGACCCAAATGTAATCCATGATTCCACAGACCATCAACTTTTTTCAATCTCAAATTATCAATACATACACATAGCCAATAATTTCATTACGTTCAGACCTCGAAGAGATAGGCATGATAGGATGGATTAATATCTCATGTCATTCTCACAAACCCAAAATTCAGTCTATCAGAACATGGTGCCATATCTTTCCCTAAAAACCCTGATTGTAAAAACTGAAATATAACTCTTGCAAGCTAACCTAGAACTTGTAAAAACCAATGCTTTACGTAAGTATTGGTATACAAAATCCATTTTAAGGGGTATAAATTTGACAAGTAAACATATGAACATGAAGTATAATTGATGCAAAAATTATTAAGAAGAAAATGAATACTCTTCCATACCGTTAAAGTGCTTTCAAGCTTCCTTGTCTCCGTAAGCAATTTCAACTCGTTAATGAACGGCAATTTGGCAACACCCTGACTTCCAAACACACACACAGACAGACACATAAAGTGATATAACTACCATTAGTTTACCCCTCCAAAAGGAAAAACAAACACAAATTTAAACAAATAAAGAAAAACAATAACACTACAGGAGATCATACCTGCCATGCAAAGCGCTTGCCATTCATGTCAATTTCAAAATCTGGAGTAAGATATTTCAAAAGGAAAATATTATCAGATAGGATACAACTTCACAGTATAAAAAGATCCATACAACTAGACAATTATTACCAGCAGGATAGAAATTATGGATAGGTGATCTTGGATCAGTCATTAAGTTTCTGTATTTTTCTGGAAGAGCACTAGAGCTGTAAAATAGAAATACCGAGCATTATCATATCTAGAAGATGAAATCTTCTATATATAAATAACTTATTTGAATAAATTCAAAGCCACAAATGAGAGAGACCTTGCAGCTGGTAGGGTTCCCATGAGCTGATCGAAGGGCTTAAATGGCTCTCCCAAGAAAAATGTTATTTCCAGTTCATTTAAATCTTTTAGATCAGAAGCAAAAGGAGCATAATGGTATGGATAATACCTGAATAAAAAAACGATTACAGATACAAGCAAAGTTATTGAAACTGAACTGGATATCAATCCAGTCAACACGGTGGCTCAACATGTCACCCATCCAACTTCCAGATAGAGTAGTCAGACCTCCAGATCAGCAATAAGATGAGGCAAAGTAGGTAAAAGAAGCAAAAGGTTAAAGTCAAACTAACCATAGCCATGAGCAGACTCCTTGGTAATAATATCGGCAAACCCAACATAAGCCTTCTACATATTTTAAAACCTGCAAAGAAACAAAAATATTTTAGCATAGAGTAACTTAGTACTTGTCCTATCAAACCAGGAAAAAACAACAGCAAAAAGATGAAAAGCTTTTAAATTAGATTAAGTTTATTAGAAGGGAATGAAGGCAGCAACTGAACCCAACAAGAATCTCCTAAACTCAAAACATATGAAATCTTCCGATCTCCTAAATTACCCTGACTGTTCGTAGCTATGTACAGACCTGATCACAGTGATTTAACCATTTTCCTCGATCACTATTTTTTTTTTCCTAAGAAAAAAAAAAAGAAAAAGAAAAAAGCCAACTATAGATGGGTAGAGCTACAGACCCCACGCACAGCTTAAACCTCCAAGGTTCAATCCAAAATATATATGGCAGATGATTCAATAAAGAGATCAGTTCACATGAAAAGCAAAAATAAGTAGTGTAATATCCAAAAACAAAACCATATCCACAGCCAAATAATATAACTAAAATGTCTCGCCTGAGAGAGCTTACCAAGTCCTTTTTGACTTTATCAATCTCCTCTGGTGTTGATACTTGAAATTTCTCAGCATAATACCTTTCTGTATATCCAGGCTCTCCCAATTTAACCTGGGAAACAAAATAAAATCAGACACATGAACACAATGCATTCCTTAATTACTTGGCCTGCCCTTCAAAGAAGCTTTCACAGTCTCTTCATGACTTTACAGTGAAATGAGTGATCAAATATACAATAGATGGCACAAAAAGCTAAGTTCTTTTATCACTT